TCTTATTGCACATGACCAACAATAAATCGAATCATTGCGTTTCGCAATTAGAATGAGGCAGTATCGCCTTTGTGTAACTCTGTGTTGCAACTGGGTGTCAAAAATCTTGATGTGTGTTTTGCAAACGTGTTTTGACGTTCTTTAAAACTTCTTCCCGGTCCAAAATAAAATTTCCTTTGTCTTATATACACTATTTTAAACAAATGGGTACACAGTATTCCTCCATAAAATATTTTAATTCATCATTAATACGAACATGTGTCTTATTACTTATAAATATCCAGATGTTTTTTCCAGGGAAATGGAGGGGCCTACAGCCAACTTGATGTTTTTTTATAAAGAAGTTTTCATTTACACCGAATATAAAGTGTGCATATTTTGTTGACTTATAGTTAATATTTATAACGTTATTAATCGATACATTGAGTGACTTTCTTGTTTGTTTTTTAATGATTTAATGTCGCTTTTCAACTGCTGCGGTCATATACCTACCATTGTAATTTAACCTTAGCTTTATACCTTTGGGGTAACAATGGCGGAACACACTTAAGGACATACTGAAGCTTCCATCCCCGGATGGGCCTTCGAACCCGCGACCCTTAAATTCACGGCCGCCACGGCGCTTCATCCTCGGCTCTCCAAGCCGGCTGAGTGAGTTTCGTTAGCGCAGAAAGTTACTGAAAGTGTGGCGTCATATCTGTCGCCAGTACTATACCAGCCACGTGGACAGCGCGGGCGGAAGAGACGCTGGGCTGCACAAAGGCTAGGGAGCAGGGAAAGAGGGGTTCGTGGGCGGAAGCTGGGAGACTCCGAACACGGCGTAAACGCGTCGGCGGAAACTGCGGGTGACGCAGTTCCGTCAGCCTGCCCAGAAGGTATATAAGCGGATCCCGACCTAACTCAATCTTCTGTTTTCATCTGTTTCTTGGGCGCCTCGGTAAGGCGTCGTGTGAGTTGTGCGCGGCGTTGCATTGTAATGCATAGGCGACCGAGGCGGGGAACCGAAGTCGGCGTGCTACGTCGTGACGGTAGGTGCGGCATACTCGCTGGTATGCTCGCGTAAGGTACTGGTGCATCACACCGAACATGGTAATTAATTATCGGGCCAGCGGTGGTGGTAACCAGGGAAAGTTCCTTCTTGTAACGGTCAATTTATTTGTAGATATTGTATATAGTATTATGGTGTCGGAGTATTTTATTTCTAATAAATACTAAATATTTACAAGCCGTTCACGTCTGTAATTTATTGCCCCGGCAAGACGCCACAAAAGCTATATTTGTGAATACGAATTATTGTATTCTGGGGGAGGGAGCTGAAACCCCATTAGCCCTAGCCCTTCACACTTGGGTGGGGCATTGCAACTATCACATACAAATGAGGATTAAATTGAATTGAATTGCCTTATTTTACGTGGCGAGACTCGGGTCATCAGGCCCACTCTTCCGTCTGACCACGCAAATTTCGCTACGCTCCTTTCACCAACTAGGAGAAAGGAGATATTTCTTGGGCGACGAAACAGGCGATTTGAATTTAGCTCAGAGATCTTTTACATTGAAGTAAATCTACTAACATGGGACAGGCGGCTTTACTTTCCCTCCGAAGGAAGGCGTACGAAGGATTTTTTCGCCCTTAAAAATCCACGGCGTCGATCGTTTGAACCCGCCAACTTGGGTATATCAGTCCGATACGCTAACCATTACACCATCGCTGCCGCCCGGATTTGACCAACGACTGCCTCGAACGCTCGACCAACGTCTGGCCCTTAACTCCTTACAACAGGGTCGGAAGGAATCGTGAATCGGAACGAATCTGCGAATGGCGCTCCCCCGTAAAACTCAAAAGCATGGGTGTCGGTTCAGGCATTTGCCTATCACGGGTGAGCGTCCCGTCCCTGGAGGAGGAATGCGGAAGCTTCCTACGACCAACAGCTCATCCAGCAGCTGCTCCTGGAAGACGCTACAGGGGGCGGGGCGAGGCGTGGGGGGGGGGCGATGCGTTTTGGGAAACCTTGAGGGGATTAGTCGAGTTGGGGAGAAGGGGACAAAAAATGTGCTAGAGCTTCTCCAAGTGGTGAAGGATGATGTGTATAAATACTCACTGACGAGTAGGGGAGGAGGAAAGGTCTATAAATTCGCGTACGGATAAAAAGTGGAAGGAACTCTTCATTATGCTGTGGAGGCTAATTGGAATTAGAGTCATTTAAGAAATGCGTACACGTTTTGTGAGTAAGGCGTTGGCCACGCTGGAAATCGTGCAATAGGGCAGTAAGGGAGTAATTTAAAAGTTTGTATACTCTGCAGAAACAAGAGTCTCGTTTGACGAAATTATCGTAGAATGTACGCATAAATTGTCGTCGAAACACGTTTTCCATAAAACATTGTGTTCAAAATCTAATCTTTATTTTCAATTTCGAGATTCAAATTCATTTCGCATTCATTTTCGCTTGCAAAAAGGTTCTGATTCATTTGTTAATAATTCAAAATGGATTTTTACATCTATACTATTTTCTTCTTGAAATTTTTACAGTTAATTATTATAAAGAACTTATAATTTTACTTTTATGAATGTATCTGGAAAGACAGAAAAGACTCAGATTTTTCTCAGTTCAATATGCTTAACTAGTAATATTGAATACTAGTAAAAACATTCGAAGTTCTCGAAGGCTCATTGGTTAGCGCGCTCGCTTTCCACGGCGCAAGCCCAGGTTCGATTCCTGGCCGGGACGATATTAAAACTGTTATCTTTCCTTACAAATGTCTCAGTATCTACTGCTGCGTGACGATGAGAAAGCCCACCCTAAGTTTAGGCATACAGTATACATGGTGGAGGGATGTCTTCGTGCTTATCCCGTGGTCGAGAGTTTGAGCCCCGGTTGGTCAGCCATGGCTCGTATCGGGCTGTCGACCCAAGAACAGGACAGTACAAGCATTTGTTTGGTACAATATATTACTTGTCATTTTAATCTGTATTTTTTGATATATCTTCATAAAAACCAGTCAAAATTCAATCTCATCCTGTGACAAATGAGATAAGAATGGCAAAGAAAAATTCTTGTGAGTTGCGGTGGTCATAGTCTTGAGCTAGACTATGTATGTTCAGACCTCGGAGTGATGAGTAACTGTCTGGCAAGAAAACAAAACTAAAGGAGAGCAGTCTAAAAAATTTTCTAAAATAACAGACATAAAAACGTCTTTCCAGAAGTACAATGAGCACTGTACGTATGTGGAAAGTGAATTCACTAGGTTAATCTAAATTAGAAGCAGAGAAGTGCTACGAAGAAATCGTTTTCGAAAGATGTTAAATGAAACACAGCATTCGCTGCACAATATATCTTCAACATTCATTTCATCCGTATTCAATATGTATTTCATTATCAGCAATTAGTACATTTTTCCTTTCCCAAAGGTCCTAAATCTCACTTTTTTATAAAACGCATATGTTAAGGCTTCGCTTCTAGATAAGTAGTGCTCCTTTTAGCATTCGACGAATGAGAATGGATCCGTTTTGGTAGTGCTGTCATCCTTTCTGCTAAACGATAAAATAAAAGACTCATGATGATGATGATGTAGGGAGTTTATGAAGTAATTTAAAATTGGGAGCATGGAAACAGGGGAACCTTCGACGCACGCTCTTCGGAAATTCCATTGGATACTGCACCAGTATAGGCCGGCGATTTGGATGGATTTGACGATCACGAGTTTGAATCGCAAATCATGCGAAGTAAATGCCAACACTCATCATTGAGCCATAGCCATTAGGAAACTCGTTCTGTTCTGGAGAAATGTCATTTTTTGGCGATGGAGGGGGTGCAGTTAAGAAATCCTTGCCCGTTCTGCCCCTATTTAAGTGGGCGGCCTGCCTTGCGGGGGCGTATTTCGGCGCGGAAGGGCGTTCGCGGGGGCCAAACGGACGCGGCGCCCCGCGAGGCGGCGAGCGCGCGCGAGCTGGAAGCGCGGGCGACGTCACGCCGGATATAAATACGCGCGTGCGGTGGGCGCCTGCCGGAGGCCACGGGCGGCGGCGGCGGCGGCGGCGGGAGCAGCGAGGGCGGCGCGCGGCGGGTCCGGCCGCGCCTCGTCTCGGCGTGGTCAGTCGCGTCGGCCGCTCGACCAGCCGAACGCCACGCGGCCACACCGCCCCGCTCGCGGGCGCCCTCACACCCTCCCGCGCCTCGCGCAAGGGATAGCAGCGCCCTCCGCAGGACGTCACCCACGCGCGCGCGCTCGCGGCGCCGGCGCTGCGGTTTCAGGGCGGGGCGGCATGGCCGTCCTCTAAATCCTCCTCCCGGAACACCGACTCCGACTCCTTTCTAAGTGCCGTACCCATATTAGTTAGCTACTAAACTCCGCAGACACAAGCCGCGATGACCACGGCACTCGCGCCGCCTGCTGACGACTCCGCCTGGCCGCCTGGTCTGCCGGCTCGACGCTCCTGACTCATCAAAAAAAGCTAGGTCCGCGGCCGAGAGGGGCGACTCGCTGCGGGAGGACGCCGCGTTGTCCGGGCCGCCGCCGAGGGCGCCGCACCGCGCCGACTTCCGGAAATTGTGAGACCGGGAAGGGCCGCGCGAGCGGGGCGCGGTGGTTCGGCCGCGTGGCGTTCGGCTAAGGCGTCGAGCCGGCCCGACGGCGGACCCCTGAACACCCCCGAAGACCCGAGGCGCGGGCCCGGACCGCCGCGCGCCGCCCTCGCTTCCCGCCGCCGCCCGCCGCCGCGCCGTGGCCTCGGCAGGCGGCCCACGCGCCCACCGCGCCCGGTACCGGGCCTACCTGATGACCTCCGGGCCGGCCGTGACGTCGTTTCGCTCCTGCGCTTCCACGGCGCCGTCTTGCCGCCGCCCCCGTCCCGCCCGCGCTGCGCGAACAGCATCGCTGGTAGCCGCGGCGCCCCGCCCCCCTCGCGGCCCCCGCCCGCGCCGCACCGCGTTGTGAGCCCCCGGGCTTCCGGACAAGATGCCCTTCCGCGCCGAAATACGCCCCCGCGCAAGGCAGGCCGCCCACTAAATAGGGGCAGAAACGGGCGAGGATTTCTTAACTGCACCCCTCCTGCGCCAAAAAACATCACCATTTGCTCCCGCCACGAACAGAACCGCGAGTTCCCGTCCTTCCTCCTCAAATGGCCTATATG